GGTACCCCTAATTTTGGGAGACTACCATCTATTCGGGTTCAAGGGCTCAGGGTTGGGTTGAATCCCGGCCCTATCAAGGCAGGGTTTCGGGGCCTCGACACACGGGTACTGTTTAGAACTTGATGTGAGCTATAGTCTAAACTCCTTAAAAGGGGTATATAGGGGATTATATAGGCAACTACTATAGGGGTTATTAAGGGGGATACTAGGAGTTTAGACTATAGCTCATGTAGTTCCCGCATTCTTGCACCCATTTGAGCAACGCGTGCTGGTCAAGCGAATGTTTGAATCCGCCTGTTGATTGAATCCTTTACCTCCATTTTGTGAGAAGTGATACTCAAGAATTACAAGAGCCTCCTGAAATTCGTGTAGCAGCATAGCTATCCGGGCAGTTCCAGTCCGTTATTGAAGTTGATATGCTCAGCAGGCAGCACTCCAGCACCACAGCAAGCATTGCTATGTTTGCCATATTATAAAGGGTCTCTAGGTGATATCCTCAAACATTATTGGGATACGGGTGTCGACGCGAGGCGTTATCTTGTGGTCCACCTGAATAGACGGTTCCCTAGTGTACATAAAAATTACTTCTGGAAGACAACCCAAACTACACGGACCGGCAGTGATTTCCACGAAAGGAAGGGCTCGGAAGTTGGGGTAGGCATTTAGGGATTAGGGATTTAGGGATTTAGGGTTTCGGGATTTAGGGATTTGGGGTTTAGGGATTTGAGGTTTAGGGTTTAGGGTATTCAATCTCAAAACGTAAGCTTCTCAACATGGAAGTCCTATTTGTACTAGTGTACTGCCCAAATTGTGAGCTCCTCAGGACAAGGTACCCATTTGTGCAACGAATGAAAAAGAGTTTACACCCTAAACCCTGTAGTAGTTTCCATTTCTTTTTCATTATCCCTATATAGCCTTATATTACTCCATATAACCCTACTGTAAGCCCTGATAAACCCTGAAAAGCCCTAAGCTCTACCCAGGAGCATGTTCGGACGGATGCAGATGGCGATCTCCTGAATGTGCCTCGTGTCGCATTTGGGATAGGACGGGTATGCTTAGGGGTTATAGCCCCCCTTCACTAGATAGAATATGGGCTATATGGGGATCTCATGATAATATACCCAAAGCCAGATTCTATCTACTTAAGGGGGACCATATATAGGGGTTATGTAGGGATAATGGAAAAGAAAATAGAAATTACTATTTATGCTGTCAGGACCTTAGTAACTAGGGATCATATGTGGGTTGTATTATAGGGATAATCGAAAAGAAAATTGAAACTACTAGAACATATAGGGTTGTATCTTGAAAACAGAGGTTCAGCAGGCACCTTCCGGGGTTGCTTGCAGAGGGTTATGTCATTTCTCCATTTCACGGCTGTGTGTTTTGTCTCGGGTTTGCGTGGCGCGCTTCTTGCGCTACGTAGAGGGTGCCCAAGAAGTTTGTTTGTTGAGGTCATCCATGACCTGAGCTGTGGAAGTCCTGCAGCGCACTTGGCTTCCATATGCTAACGGCAAGCATGTTGAAAAAAGGATCCGGAACATCCGGCCAGAGCACACCTTATATAGTTTCGAAGGACAGCAGTTGCTAGGGGAGCTTCCAGTAAAGTACCGGCCGATTAATCCAGAACAGCCCGTCCTGACATACAAGCAGGTGTTAGACACCAAGCCTCCCCGCAAACTTCAGGAACCGGTATGTCGAAGTTATACATAATTCAAACACATGACAAGACTTGTTTGATATCCCTGCCTAGCCGCTTATCCGCCTATCTATCTATCTAGTTTCTTTTTGTACATGTACAGTTACATGTGTCTGTATGAGAGCTTCTCAGGATGAGGGGGCCCTCCCTCAAGGATGGACCCGAAACGGGACTTAAGAGCTTGGGAAGCTCAACGCAAAGCCCACGATTATGCATTTGCACAAGGCGAGTAAAAATGAGTTTGCTTACCATGAAAGCATTAGCTGGCAAGCTACACATTCTGACGCCTCGATTTATGAGTAAGCTTAAAGCCAAACCTCCTCAACCCTAACCTGCAAACCCAAAACCGAGACCCCAGCATAAAATATGAAAAGCCCGCAAGTAGAGACAATGTTCAGGAGCCGGCTTGGCTGCCTTTGATCCTCCATGGCGCCTCTGAGATTCGCGAGGTCGCTGGGGCTTTTCGGGCGAGGGTTTAGGATTTTTGAAGCTTTGGGGTTTAGGTTTAGGTTTTAGGGTAGGGGGTTTGTGGGTCCATGGATTTAGGGATTTAAGGGGTCTCGGGCGTAGGGACCGGGCTTGGCAGCTTGGAGGTCCGTTCCGTTTTCACGTATTCTGTCTTGCCAATCCGCAGCATATCCTTCACTTCTCCACACCAGGCCACCCTCTATTGCTATCACTCTTACTCTTAGCACTTCATTTTTCTTAAACATCTTCTTTTTTTTATCCTTACAACCATTACCACGCCCACCCCTGTTGGTATTACTAGAGGCCCCACCACTGCTTCGTGAGGCATGGGCACAACTGAGGGTATGAGGTTATAACCGTGGGCTTCTCATAGGGATTTCAGGACGCGAGTTTGAGAGAAGGTGAATTGAGGAGACATTTTATGTCGTGGCACAACGACGAACGAGGGACAACAATGGGTGCGTACATGCTTCTTGCCGATGATCCTTCAAGTTTTGCTGTGCTCATATATTAGCAGCGACCTGGGAATACTCGGGAAATCATGGCTCAACGTGTCCAAGATCGATGGTGGGTTTTCATTGTTTATATAGGCAGTGTCCCCCAACATTGTTGCCTTGCAAGGAAGCAGTTTCTATCCGCCGAACAAACCATAATGCGAGGGATCGCACGAGCAGCGAAAGCAAGGTGCCTTTGGGCCCTAATGTTGCACTCATCTTGGCTAAGAGACTCTCTTCAATAAGTTTCGGCCGCTGCTTAAAGAGATTCAGCCCGTTGTTTCACGACTCTCCAGACCATCCCCCTCTAAATTAATCCCCAGGGCCTCCCCAGGGCCCTCAGTACCGCAGGAGCCCTCATTGAGGACGCCTTTTTTGCAATAATGTTCTGGAGGCCCTACTGTTAGAGGGGGGAATCCTATACATTAAAGAGAGTGCAACATAAAAGCGTGTGCAAGCCCCCAAAAAAATGTGATCTCAATAAGGGGGGCCCACACAAAGGTACCCCTAATTTCGGGAGACCCCCAAAATACTTCTTGCCTTCAGGTTCCGGTTGCTGACCTCGGAGCACTGACCGCCGCAAATGCCCGGCGCGTCTTCCGCTGGCCCGCCCTCCCAGGAAGTGGGGGCAACTACCTGAACCTCCCAAACGCCCATACTAAAGCCTTTTAGGGGTTTAGGGGTTTAGGGGTTTGGGGTTCAGGCTTTAGTGTTTAGGGTTTAGGGTTTAGGGTGTAGGGTTCAGGGCTTAGGGTTTAGGGTTAATCCCTAAATGAAAGGTAACAGGCTGTTATTACGGCTACATGGGAGGTCCAGGTATGGGTATTCACAGGGATCGTAAACGCCTATCATGAGCATTCCTGTAAACAAGCCTTGGGGGTGTAGGGTCAGGTCCGTGAAGCTGGGCTATTATGGCGATCTGTATGGTCGATAACATCCAGTTGATGGGGATAATGTAGACTCCTGATAAATAAAAAAACCCTCGTTTTAAGGGCCTGAATATCAGGATCCCTATTATGGTCCCTATGAAAGGGAGGGGGTTTATTAATCAGGGGTCTGTGTTGAGTTTTTTTTTGTAGGTACTCGTTCGCCGCACTGGGTTGTGGGCACGTAGGGTATAGGTTTTCATTTCATGTTAGGGTGTGTGGTTAGGACTTGACATGTAAGGTCCGCCTCCCTACATACCCTCATGCAATCCGGGGTTATTCGGGACCCCAAAATTCCGACAAAGTTTTGTTGCGGACTCCAAGCAGAGCGCCCCGCAGAGACTTGGGAGTTTCCCGAAATTAGGGGTACTTTTTCGGGGGTCCTTAAGAAAAGGATCATGGAATGTGGGGGGCCTATGCTGTACCCTAATCTGGGGAAATCTCCACTACCTAGGTCGGAAGCTTGACTCCACGCCCAACATGGGCATTGTGGAGGCACTTGAGGGACTGGGGCTTGGCAATGCCAGTGTTAAGGGTTTAGGGGTTTGGGGCTTAGGGTTTAGGGATCTGTGAAGGAGGCATTGAGGATATCAGAATGCAGGGCTGGGCAAGTTGTATTTGAGGTGCCTTGATTGCATGGGACAGTGGTCCTGAAGCTCCATTTTCTTGGATCCTTATAGTAGTCCCTATATGATATAACCAGTTTTAGTGGTTTCCATTGTTTATAGTAGTCCCTATGTAACATAACTCATTTGGGTAGTTTCCATTTTTCCATTCCTTCATCCCAACTAACTGAAGGCCAGTCAGGCAGTGTTCTCAAACAGCTTGACTCCTGGTTTAAAACAGGAGCTGCACAGTGATCATGTTTGTGGCAAAGCAGGAAGTGTGGGTGTACCGGCGTTTCGGTCCTTTGTCTCGGGTCCTTCTACTGACTATTATATATTGCTGGAGTTATACCGCTAAAGCACCTGTGTGAGAACTTGCCAGCGAAGCAGCATTTTCTGGCTCATGTGCTGGCTGCCCTTTCGGCATACTAGGTTGTCAAAATCCTGAACCCTAAACCCCAAACCGTGTTATGACTCTCACAAGTCTTGTCGCTGGCTTTGCTCAATTTCATTACTCATGCATTTGTCACTATTGTGATTGGTTTCCATAAATTCGGGGCCACAACATAGACACCAATACAGTAGTACAATCCTCACATGTTTTGGGGCCCCTAAAACACCCCAATGCGGAGGCAGGTCTCTTGGTAGTATATTATGTTATATTAGAGTGTACTAGAGTAATGGTATATAATTATAGTATACTATAGTATATTATAGTATATTATAGTATATTATAGTAGATTATAATACAGCATAGTAGATTACATTAAATTTGAGTATATTATATTACATTTTAGTATATGTTTATATTGGTATTGATATGTGGATGGCAATGGAGCTGGAGCTCTGATGGGGCGCCTGTGGAGCCTTGGCTTGTAAATCTTCTTAATGGAAACTACCATAGAGGTTATTTAGGAGGGATAATGGAAAAGAACATGGAAGCTACCGTTTAGGGTTTAGGGTTTAGGTCCTCACCGCATGAAGTTATTGCACATGACAAGCTTTGAGATATGCACTGTCTATCTTCGTACATGTATATGTATATACATATGTAGAAGGTGAATAGATTCAGGTAATGTCTGCACACTCGTAAGTGGTACTTGAATAGAATGCTGGTATGTGTTGCGGTCGCTATTGATGGCGGGGGGGGTTAGGGCTCACTGGTAACTTCGCAGCCGCTTGGAGAGATTTGCATTTCTTGGATGGGTATCGACACCTGAGTCTGCTTCAAGAGCATTCAAGCATGCTCTGAGGTGCCCGGATACCCCGCAGACCTATCTCCTGTTCGAAAACCTGTAGTCCCCCTTAAGGCGATAGAATATGGGGTGGAGATTCTACTACAATTTACCCAGAGCCATATTTCATCCACTGAAGGGGGACTGTAGGACCTAGGGCTTCCGTATTGACTAATGAATTTTCTCAGCAGTGGAGGAGAGTTGTCGGCGGGGAGAAAGGAGGGCTCCTGGTGCGAGATGGAAGAGAGTTAACGTCTCCGGAGAAGGACGCCCGGCTGTTGTTTAAAAGTGGTTCAGGATCGAGTTGCCCGCTTACAGCAGAGAAGTTGTATTTCCGTAGTGTCACCCAGATCCGTTTGGTATCCCCCGTAATGCTGGAAGGCGAACAGAGTTAATGGAGAAATCGGGAAGAAAAAGTAGTCCTTTCATAAGTGCTCACACCCAGCTTTTGTGGCACCTTGATGAACTCAGAGTATCAGATCAGGCTATGTAAGTGATCTCAACCTTATAGCGCCCGAAGAGGGACGCCCTGAGCCCTACTGGCGGAAGCCCTGGCACCCCAACTTGATCCTTGTTAGTCGGGAACGTAGTCCCCAAGACCCATCCTCTCCAATCTGTTTCTACCTCCAAACCACCCTACGCCCAAAGCCTAAACCCTGAACCGGTGAGTGCAACCCCAGGGAGAGCGTCTGGTGAGCCAGTCCATTGTGGAGGAGGTGGAATTGGCTAGTGGAAGGTTCCACTATCAGCTGTACCTAGGCTGGGTGTTGAGACCTTTTAGTTTTTTAAATGGTGGCAGAAGGGGATCGATGAGTTTGGAGGGCTGGGGGTTCCGTTGCAAGCTGCAGCTGGCTTCGGAGCTGTTGTGTTGAGGATTCGGAGAGGGCTGCGGGGATTCTACCTATCCAGATGTGGTTCCTTTGTTTTCTAAGTAACATTAGGGGCCGTATTCTAACAGGACCCAAAACACGACTCCCTTAGTTGATCAATCAGAGGCTTGCAGTACCATGAGCTGTCGCATACTCAGTCCAGTAGTGTTTTCTTGGAGATGCTATATAGAGTAATGAGTACCGTAATACCTTCCTTTTGAGCGGCATCGTCTGTCTTATCAAAAAGAAAGAAATCTTACGCGGTTCAACCACCTGGAAATCATCTCTCACATAATCCCTGTAGCCTCTATAGAACTCCAGTTTCCATTCCATTGTTTCGCCCGATCGAGTCTCCATCGTATCCCATCCCTTAGGTATAGACCCCAAGCCGTTTCCAACAACGAGATAGCAGCTTCCATTCTCTTGTCCATTCTTTACTGTATATCCCTTTATGGTAGTTTCTATAAATGGGGGACCCCGATATAGACCCCAGCCCTCCTAAACATATGTTCCAATAATATCCCTACATAACCCTTATATCCCCCTGTAAAGGTACCCCAAATTGTGGGAAACCTAAACCCTAAACCCTAAAACTTAAACCCTAAACCCTAGACCTTAAACCTTAAACCCTAAACCCTAAACCCTAAACCTATACATCCCTGTTGGAATCAGGTTCAGGGGCACTGGGCCACCTACTGGCTGGATAAGCGTGAAGTTGAAAGAGCGACAGCTCCTGGCTTCCAAGCAGAGCATTCACTATTTGGTTGAAGTATATGGGGGTTTCCCAAAATTAGGGGTCATATAGGGTTTTATACGGGATAATGGAAAAGAAAATGGAAACTGCTACTTAGGGTTTAGGGTATCTTGAGGGTTTTCCAAAATTAGGGGTACCTACTATAATGGAGAATCAAATGGAAAAGAAAATGGAAAATGAAATGGAAAGTGTGTTTATGTAGGGGATTCTAGGGATTAGGGTTTTTAGGGGTCCCCATAATAGGGATTATAGTATTCTGGGGTTCTATATTGGGGTTCCCCTAATTTTGGGAAACTACCATATGTTTTTCTCAACATTGTGGTCCCGAATGTGGATGCTTAAAACGAGGCTGCATTCTTTCCGAGTGTGAACAAACACTAATTTTCTACCTTGTTTTTGCATGTGTCCCTATCGTCGTAGCCATGGGATCCTGAACCCTAAGCCCTAGCCCCTAAACCTTAACCGCGTAAAGGCCCCTTGCACATCTTGCAGGCACAAAAGTCCGAGGGGGTAAAGAAAAACCCTAACCGCGTGGCCAGTGGGTACCCCCCCTAAACCCTAAACCCTAAACCCTACACCCTAAACCCTCCCAACGGGTTCATTTCCAGGGA